AGCGTTCCATACTGTGCGTGCTGCGGCGTTTGCTTGCCGAGGTCATCAACATGCCGCCTGTCTCGAGATCTCCCACCACACGAGCTAGCGCGTCGCCCAGCCGCGGATGTCTGGTGCAATGGGAGCCCGGATGGGGAGAGGAACTGTCAGAGCGAAACGCATTCATTGTGGGCGGGGGCGGGGGAGGGGTGGGCGGGAGGGGGGTTGGAAAAGCTTGAACGCAGAGCATACCTCCATGCACAGCTGCCGTTGTATTTCATGATTCTGTAGGCGGGTACACTACAGTTGTTTCAGGTGGTCGGCTCGTAGGCGCGAAGTGATCCTGTCGACTGGTTCGTCTACTGTCCATGCCGCCTTTCGAGATTGTCTCAAGCCTTTCACATGATCATGACGCCGAGACTAGAATCTTGATTGCAGGTCCAGGAGAGAGAGCTCGACAATTCACAAATGGGCCGCTGTGCTGTAGGTTGCAGCCAGGACACTCTTCGCTACACCACCAGGCTACTGGCTTTGGAAACAACGGACAGTGTTGTGTGGCGCAGGGTGATTGTGTCTCCCCACGGATGCCGCGCGGGCCTCTGTTCAGGTTTACTATCGGCACCTGATGATTGCAATGGAACTGTAGGAGAAGACATGAATTGAGGTCATGTTAGGGTGTACAGCAAAGCAAATTTCATACTACTGAATGCAATGCGTACTGTACCTTCTCGAGGCGAAGTGCATCCGCTCCTCGGCTCGGTCGCACCATCTCCTTTTCCTGCTGCTGTATCCTGTCGTTGGGAAGGCGACGACCTACATCGCTGTGTTCGGCAGATGAGCGGTGGCTGGACGTGTGCTGGTGGCGGTATTGCACTTTGCGGGCTCATACAGTATGCAGGACATAAGTAGCGTATAATTATTGCGAATATTGCACATACCGGGCAGCGTAAACCGACGAGTAAAGCGGACGCCACCAACACCCTTGTCCGAAATACTGTACACTATTTAGCGCCTTGCACACTCACATGACCATTTTATAGGAGAGCTAAGGACATTATTAACGCGACGTTGGACCAAATTCCTTGTCCTGCGAGGAAAGAGATCGCTACTGTCCTTTTTTTGCATCTCGTTTTTCGGCGCGTTCGCGAGATGGAGCGAGTGCATATCTCTTTAACTGTCGCTTGGCACCCCGACCAACGCATGCATCCATCTGCATGTCCAACGGCTACGGTTACCAACATGAGTTTCCCAGCCTTTCATCGAAGACAATGCCAATTCATTGTCATGGTCGGATGTTCGTGGCCATACGGTCGCGGTCTTCCTACACAGTAACCTGCGACTACACATGCTAGCCCGTCCAACTGTTCTCTGCTTCCTATCTAGAGTTTGCCACCCAGTATGGACACTCACGCTCTTCCGCCACACAAGTCTCGAGAGACCACACCTAAGACCCTACCGAGACACAATGCGTTTCGCGACAGACAATTACAACTCTCATACTTACCCTGCGTCTTAGATGACATTCAACCTATTGGTGCTTGCCTATGTGTTGAAGCCCGAGATCTCGAAGGAGTCAAATTCACGCGTCGAGATACAGCGCTTTGCACCTCCTTTTTACAGCTCAAACCCGAACTATGGAGGCAAAAGTGCGACGTCTTCACAGACTCAAACGGAAACGTGCAACGGTTCCGCCTGGTACATGTCGTATTCAACAACCTCGCAGAGTGCAAGCCTGAGAGAGTGGAGAAAGAAACAAGAATTGCGAGAAGAAGATTAGCGACTTCCGATTGCACCGGAGAGGAGTGCAATACGAGTACAACGGATGAGATAAGGGCAAGTGCGATGCAGCCGCAGGTGGGAATATCCGGTCTCCGAATGTACATGGAGGGGCTGAATGGAATAGGAGATGACTTCACATCCGGGACGACGGAGGAATTGACGTCCCCTATGACGTACGTGGAAAGCAGGGTACGACAAAGCGGACGTTTCCTACCAAACAAAAAGGGTACCATTTACTCAGTTCTCAAAGTGTTACAAGTACTTGGGAGCACGTTAGTTTTTCTTGCGGCGCCAGTTCCGTCAGGCGGAGGACGAAGGGGAAAGGGAAAGAAATACAAGATCATATGCAGATTGAAAAATGGCATGTTGTTGCGGGCGGTTTTAACTAGAAAGAAGGTGGAGCTAATGATGAACAACTGGGTAAATGTGCAGTTACCACTAAGAAGTGTAAAAGATGAGTCATACCTGGATGGTACTGATCGTCAGGGAGGAGGGATAAAAGAAGGGGATAAAGTGGGTGTTACGAATTGTCGACCGAGGAAAGATGCTGACAATAGAGTGACGTTCACCTGCCGATGCACGAGAAGGGGCGGAGGGGACACAAGGGGCACCAGTGTGGGAGTAGCCTGAGGAAGATGGAGCAGCAGCAGGAGCTACAGTAGTGCTTCCCCCCCCCCCCCCCCCCCCC